CTGGCGCTGCCGACATCATTTGTAACAATATATATCAAACAATTTGCCGTCTATTTTTAGCATCATGATAATGTCTATCCCCAACCACACCCCACGACTTGTAACATTCATTTGTGAAACAATATATTACTCGTTCCTTCACATATACACAGACTGACTTTCCTTATTTTCTTGTCCCAATTATACAGCCATTTTTTTTTTATTGAAAATATTTTGTTTTGTTTGTTTATTAATATACCCTTATTTAATTTGTTTAGTTACAACGAATTTTTCCCATTTAATACAAATATAAATAAGGGTAAACTATGAATGTTTTCAACAAAAATTGTTTTTCCAATATTTGTGTGAAGAAACAAAATCATCCTATATAAATGAGTCGGAGAGAGTATATGATTCCAAATTTCCACGCCTCGTGAACTAATAAAGAACAAATTTCTATGTAACCACAAACAAAAACAAGAAATGAAAAGAAAACCAAAATATACGACTGGATCCGAAGTCACCAACTTAGGAAATGGGGATTCATGGTCTCCAATTTACCCCGTCCAGGTAAACTCTAATTACACAAGATAGAATTGATTGAGATAAAGAAAAAAAAAAGAGAAGATTTTCCCCAACTTCTTGGATAAGCTGGTAAAAATCTCCAATCCAAGACAACTTTCATTGTGGTAACAATTGTAAAATCCAAATTCCTAAATCATAAACTAGTAGAGAAGAACAAGGGTGTAAATCACACAGCCCAAATAGCTAAGAGTAAATGATTCAAGCAGTTACGTACAGGAACAAACAAGAAAACCAAAAAGAACAAAATAAAGAGAAAAGAGAACTAGGGAGTCCTGCGAAATTTAAAGAGCCACACATTTAGAAAAATAAAAATAAAAATGCAGCTACTGGAATTTGCCGGTATTGTATGCATGTAACTCTCATGTTGCCTCCCAAGCTGGACCTGCGTGGTTCAAGCTAGGAGCTAAGAGAACCTAAAATCAAAAGCAGTCTAGGATAAAAATGCTTTTTATTAAGAGAACATTAACCTCGAGTGACCTGATAATCATTAGTCAATTATGTATCAAACGGCAGATGGTCTCAATTGGCACTATATATGTGTGGGGATATCATCTAAGACTAGCGGTGAGTGAGTTGACTGCTCAGTTGTCAACTAGGGGCAGATAAGAGGAGAGGGCGTATGGTGCCCAAGTTTCTAATATTCAACACGTAATTCTGACAAAATCTTTAGAAAAAATAGATGGTTTTACCCTCAAAATTTTTGGAGAAACTGGAGTATAGTTCTTGTCAAGCTATGTCTCCCCTAGCCTAAAATCCTAAGATTCGTCAATGCTATCTATCAACCGTGATATGGTATAAGACAATTTTTTATGCCTAGTAGTTTCATATTAAGATAACAAGAAGGTGCAACCATTAGAAACAATTTGCATAGTACTGTACTATGCATTAATGTGCCTTTACTAAGATTATAATCTAAGTAAAAATAGAAGGTCCTGGAAGTATAATTGATGGATTTGGGTCTCAAGCGTAGGGTTGTCTGATCATACTCGAATGCAACTACTTATTTACTCATCTGACAATAAATACAGACCAGAAGCGAACGAACATGTAGCAGTTTTCAATTTTGTCAATTCAGATATTGGCATTAAGAATAGCACTGAACCTGATGTCATTCGCAGGCAATTTTGGTATCAAAGCTGCTGAGACAAATGGCAAATGCCTGGAAAGCAGATATTGGATATTGATAGTCCATGGTGAACACATCCGTTCCCACTTTCCCAAACTGGAGAATAACATTCTCGAGCTCTTGTCCACCAGATTCATTCGTAATAGATACAACAAGCTGAAAGTTCTTTACAGAAGCAACCGTCACACGTCCATTGAAATTGAGACACCAACATTGGAGTTGCTCATGCCATCTAGGAGCCTTGTTTTTCAGAACTAGCCTTTCATCTCTTTCAGGCGACAATGATCCAGAAGGAAAACTATATGTACGAGTTGATTTTGATCTGAAGAATGGGAGGGCTGGGAAGGAATCTAAATTTCCAGTCAGAAATTCAGTTTGTGTGGGAGCCATACCTCCTGGTTCAATAGCAGAAGCAGGTATAGCGTCCATGACACACTGCATCCGCCTAGGACCCCTATATCGACAATATATACTTGGATAAGGAAGTAAATTTTGGTTTTTTACTAAAGAATATAATCTTATTGGAACTGTCCGTTTCCAATTCATGCTTTGGAACCCTATCACACCCCAGATATTATAGAAGGCATAGTAAAAGAGCAATGTATACCACAACAATATTTATCAATACGCAAAAAGGGGAACTGCTCAATTCTTTTTCAAAACTGAACAATTTTAAGAATGCAAGTCATTTTTCATTTCATCCGACAATGTCCATCGTGAAATAATTATGACAAAGCACTAATCTCTCACCTTGAACCCAAGACGTTCAATTCATACGAAATGTGCGCCACAGGATAGTTTCCAGCAGGGACCCTGGGAGAGACCTGTCTCATTCCAATTAACCTTGTGGAACGAGATTTAGTGACTCTGGCTCCAGCAATTGGTGGCTGTGCATCATAGATTATGAACTTGGTTCCCAAAAAATTAGATCTGCCATTGTTAGAAATGATGAAATTTAAAATCTGCAAATTCAATTTATGGAGAAACAATGCAGTATAAAAGTCGATTACCTCAACTTGCCAATGTAGGTGCTGCTTCCCTTTGACACATTGTCAGCATTTAGAGATATTATGTAATCTGTATATGTTGGTCGTTTACATCTTCGAGCAATAAGTAGGAATTTCCCATCATCATTAGAAGCTTCCAGAAGGCAAAATGGTGCAAAATGCATATTAGATGTAAAATGGTGCTTGGTATTTAAATTTGATGCCTAAATTTTTGGATAGACAAATGTAAGTGTAAAATAAATTGAGAACGCATGGAACTATTAGTTGGCTTTCACCTTGATTCAGATTGAGGTAAAGGCGATATGTTTGGTTACTACGATCCCGCTTTATGAAACACTGAATTAGGGTGTCTCTAGGACCAGGCTGCAGAAATAACAAAGAAAGATTTTCAGTATGCACTAGAGACGGGAACTAAAATAACCAATGAAATGGACCGGTTAGTAAATTTTGCAGCAGAAATAACAACACGAAACTCTTAATGGGACTGTCAAACTCCAATTTCTTTCAAGGCAATTAAATGATTTCTCGTTAAATGAATGCAAATTATTAAATTCCACATGAACATCCATTCTCATTATAAATAATCTTTACCAAACCTTAATATGTTATTGATGTATATGTTGATAACATCAGCTTTTGCTGTGCTGAAAAAAGATTAACTAGGAGAAATAATTGTTGTATGTTACAAAATCAAAATTTGAATTAAACAAAAGTGCTTTAGAAAACGTGTTACAACGATAAAAGATTGCCCACAAAGCATAGCCATCCTATGTTTCTAGAACTCTCCACTTCGGAGGAAGTGCCCTTGTCTACGTGATATGACAAAGATAAAGGTATGAGATCTGTCTCGGATCCTTTAACTATAAAGGGGACATTTTCTATTGTTTTTATTATTTGATTTAAAATGATATATAATTATTATCTCACATTTCTAGAAAATGATTTAAATCAAGTCACCTTTCCTACAGACAAGCACATGGCCATTTCGTGTTAGATTGTAACCATTCAAGAAATATAGACATTCAGAAAGATTGACAACAAAAGGTATAAAACCACATGTACCCTCTGACTTTGTACACTATCAGTCTCAAAATTCCCAAAGTGAACACATGTTGAACCACTGCCAGTGTTCATGTGGAGTAAAAACCAAATTCTTAGGACCTGTTAACCATGTTTAGCAAAGTCAGAATTTTAGACCAAAGAGGTTTAGCTCATCTCGTTCTAGTAAAAGTTGTTACTGGGGTGGATCCATTTATACAAGTTTGCCAAATTCAGGTGGTAAATATACAAACTCTTCTATTTCATCATGATTGGTGAACAAAGAAGAAACATGAATATAAACTAAGGGCTGGTAAATTGGAATTTAGATCCATACTAAAAATTTAGATCAGTACAACATATATGTGATAAATGAGACTAAAAAATTTCAAGCCTCAGTTATTACTAGTACACTGAAGCTCAAAAGTGCTTCTGATGAACTAATTTAAGAGAGTTCAAGTTGTTTGGTCAATTTACACTAATTTAATATTTATTACTTAAAATAGTTGAGCTTGAATGAACATTAAATAATTTTGAATTTAGGAAACTTTCTAAGCTAAGCCCCTTTTTATTTCTGACCAGCTTTGAAAGGGATCTAAACATGTTGATCTTTTGCCAAGCCTGAGTTACTAAGACTATAAAACCTATTGCCTTACTTTCCTCAACATTCAAAATCACCAAATTCAACAGAGATGCACATCATCTCACCCTCAGATATTTATGGTTTCTTCAAATGACACAACTTGCCCTGTTTACAAGGGAAAAAAAAATAAAAGACAATTATATAGCAAAAACTACGTTAAAAAAACTTTCAACAAACATTGTCAGTCTCTAACTTACAGAAAGACCAGAATACAAGGGCGAGCGTAATGATGATATTGGAATTATAGAGCTACACCAAATCCAGAGCATTAAAGATAAAAAAGAATTTGATTAGTAGCAATGTGATCACATGAAGAAGGACTAATTGTTTCAACAAATTATTTAAGGAAAGATATTATCTAAATATTTAGACTCCGTTCAAAAAGAATTTATAAACTGGTTAATTTTTAAATAAATAGAAATGAGTGGTGAATATGTATATAGTACTTGTGAGTCCAATGGAAAAGTGTGATTGTTTGACCATTTATAAATGATTTATAAATTTTGCCAAACGGAGGTCTAATGAGATCACTCCGATTGCATAGTTCTACCACAAAAAAATATTCTCATACTCAACTCCAAAGGGAAAAGGCCTAGTTTGTCGTTCGTTGTATTTATAAACATTGAAAAGTTTATCTACTATATAATTTCAATGTGTTTTTCGTCAATCATTAAGATGATGGACCCCAACACATTTAGATATACTTTTTTGTATAGTATTTATAGCAAGTTTGATGCTTGGAATGATAATTGCCATCAAGCATTGAGAATCAGTCTGCATATCATAGATATAATTATTTAAACAAAACCTGATGTCTCGCTAATTGATGGGAAGGCCATATATATAGTATACTTTTCATTTGTAATCACGGATGGAAAAACAGAATGGTACATATAAAAAATAAAATCCCTCCAATCCCATAATTTCTGAAAATTATGGCAGTAAATTAAATAAACACAAGCACATTCCTAACCCACACAACAAAATTCACCTCTCAATTCATGTTGACCGAATATCAATTGGAGTAATCAAAAAGCATTTTCAAACAACCCACATTTTTCGTCATGATTTATGGTATATTCCAATATAGGAAGCAAGTTGACACATTAAAAAGAAAAATGACACCTAAGTTTTATCAACTTGTCTACTTGATGTTGGTCAGACAAACTATATATATAATGTAGCATCTATAATAGTCTAAAAGTAACAAGGAAAGACTAAAACAAATGCTCATCGAATGTAACCTAACCTGCTTCAGGGAAATGGGGAAAGTTAACTTGCTAGAGACTTCCAGGGTTCTAACAATTTCCTTCATGATTTCTCTCCAGCTCCTACAAACACCAGCACAAGCAACCACATTCTTCCTTGGAGGCCATGTACACTCGGACTCCTCAATCCGCATCAACACGTCCCTCAATAACTCGGGCGGCATATTGGCCCAACAACTCTGATTCAAAGCATCTGTTGAAGTCATCGAACTATCCTGAACTGCCCGGTGAGACCTTGACCTCAACCCATAACCAAACTTCGCATCAAACCCTTTTCGAGATATACTCCCAAACTCCCCCTTCATGTCCTGAAGTAGACTCCTAAATGACATATTATCCTAACACTAATATGAGCTCCAAACAAGATATGTATCTATATGCTGTTAATTTCAATGATTAATGGGCAGATCCTAGTTGAATTGATATAACCAACCAATATGCCCTCTACAAATCCTCTCTTAAAACTGCACTTCAACACCCAGATATCAAATTGCTATACCTACACAAAAAAGGCTTTAAAAATTTGGACGATTATCCTGACAGTGTTATGAGCTACATATCATGAACAAATTAAACCATGTTTCTCATAAGAAATGTTCACTAACAGTCCCAGAACTAAAGCTCCAATCTTCAGCAAAAATTCCACATAAATACATAAAATCGTCAATCTAAAGATCAGCAAAAGTATAACAAGCTCACAACATCAAAACGATCGTTCCAAGAGCTGTACAGATCTGTACATAACTGAGAAATCTTAGAAACGCTAATTTTTTTACAAAATCTGTAGGGTGAACCCAATTGGGATTATTAGAGATTAATTCATTGTGAGGGTTGTGCAAATTCTACAGAGTAAAGGCGAATGCTATAGGAATTGGGTTTATTGTCAACTTTTTTTGTGCAGCTTTTCGACCTGGGTTTGTCCGCTCACCATAATAGTGCTGAACTCGTCACTTTCAATGTCTTATCGGGTCGGATTTCAGTGGATCTGTATCCAATACAGGATCCGGAGCGAATTAATAATTTGTAAAATGCATATCATAGTTAATAGTAATATAGATGTAAATTATTATAATTAATTAAATTTAAGATTGAAAATTAATAAAAATTATAAATTTCATGAAACATGTAGTTGAAAATAAGTTTAAAAATAAGTTAACATATGACTGTGAGTAATGTAATAACAAAAATGCTTAACGTACAGGGTCACATGTAACACATTTAGCATAACTGGTATAATAAAGGATAAGCCACCATAAATATATGTTAGAGGTGACTCAAGTAGCCTCTAGGGCACATTTTCAAGTGGTAAAAGGAGAGAATTGAGAAATTCAGCTTTGTTTGAGGTTGTCACGTCAAGGGTTTGAATCCTAAAATATGGATTTGGCTCTTGGGTAAGTGCAAGTGTACAAGCAATCTTCCACCCTATACCCATGGAAGCATAACCTGCGATTTACCTCTCTCACGATATTCCAAGGAAGGGGCGGTGGGGGACCCTTAAAGTTGGAGTTCAACCTTTTTAGAGGTGACTCAAGTAACAAAGGATGTTAGATAAACAAATTTTTTATAAAATAATAGCAAAAATTACGTATCACTAATGATCACCAATAAAATTATCGTTATTAATTTTTTGCAGTACTATTGTACGTAATATAATAAAAATCAATATTTGGTAGGTATTTCAGATTGAATCATCGACATTGATATCACCAACATCCGACTCTAGTCCAACTATTGCAGACATTAATCTCATCGACAATCCTCAAGAGTACTTTGGTCGATTATCCCTAATAGAGAAGTTGTTGGTACATCAACATATAAAAGTTTTTTTTTTACTTTATTTTTTAAAATTTTAAATTGGTTACTACTAAGTAGAGTATTACTTCAACAAATTTAGACATCTTTGTATTTATAATTTCGAATAAATCCTTTTTTTCACTGTTGTATTTTATTATCTACAAATTTTATTTAATCATTAATATCAACTGGTCCGTTATAAATCTTAAAAATTTCTACGGAGTCTTTTCCTATTCATTCTATGTCGTAGGTTTAAAACCAAAAAAGTTTTTATCGAAAGCATTCCCTAAAGGTTGAGAATAATGTACAGCTAGAAAGGTAACAATCATCTCATATTCGAAGAACGAAAGGGCCATTTCACCTTTTTTTACGATAATTTTGAAATATTTTTTTAATATAACAAGCTGAAAGATCTTTAGAAATCTTTAATTATCCTTTTAACTGTTATTTAATTAATGACATAATATTTTGTATATAATATTTCATTTCTTTTATTTTACTTAAAGACGAAAGTTTCATCAATATATTAAATTTATTAAGTTTTTAAAAAATTAATAATTATCAACAACCATTTTTATGTTAAATTATTATTTTGCTGTCAATAATTTTTATTATTTTAATTTATGGATAGATTGAATTTATGAAATAAGTGTTTTTAATTATTTGGTTGAATTTTTTAAATAACATATTTAAATAGAGCATTGAGTAACGTAATGCTATGTATAACTTATTAAAGTATAGCTTCTTTGATTAAAAAAAGAAAAAGAAAAGGGAGGCTCAAAAATTTTATTTGTTTAACAAGGTTAAATAGCAGCAAGGGTGATCAATCTCTAGTTTCATTTTGTAAATTCATCTCCTATCATTTCCTTTTTTCCTTTCAAATAGTTTCAACTGCAACAGAATGGACAAGCGGCTTCGGTTAGGATTTCTAGAACTCATGTTGCATCAATATCTACTCAACGCATCCAGTCTTATTAGCATTCTCATCTTCTCAATGTATATCATTCGATCTTTAGTAGTACCAAATGCTTTTTCTTGAACCAAACCTATCATTCATGCCGTGCTGGATGAGAATTAAACTTATCTAAACTAAGTATAATTTATATATAAGCTTATAAGGTTAAAATAATAATTTTTAAAACTAAACTTTTGTCACGTTAGACAAAAATTCAATTAGCTTAAAGCTTTCTTACACGAATATATTTACCTTCACATATAATTTTTATTTCAGGATTGTGAGTTGTGACGGTGAATTCTCAAAGTGCCGTATTCGCAAGTCATGCTTCTCCTGTAAGCAACGACTTACCCTTTCTTATTTATTAACAAATTGGAAATAATTGAAGTCTTGTCGGCATATATGATTGCATTGCAGTGTTACACCCTGTCGAGTTATATTGGCTTTTGTTAGCATTTAATTGTAGGATCAATTGCATATGTGCGATTACGTTGAAAACTGGAATTGTGAGATGGTTGAGATGTTTTATTTCTATTGTTGGGTTTTTTGATACTTAATAAACCGGGCAATGATTTAAAACAGTTGTCGGATTATTTATCGACACCATGGACTTGGCTCGGCTCGGAGACGAACTACACTTTTGGATGGCTCGAGTTTGGGTTGGATGATTATTTGGTTAGTTGGACCATTTAGTGATTAATAAAGAGTTGGAAATTGGCCCATTAGTTTAGGTTATATGTCAGCCCACTTAGAGATCTCTTGGCCCATAGTTGGTGACCTAAACTAACCTATATATATTTATCTCCTAGTCGTTTAGTGTGTGTGTGTTGTAGCAATGGAGAGAAGAGGAGAGTTGAGAGAAGAGAGGCAGTCGAGAGAGAGGGAAGCCATGTGAGGTTGTGAGTAAGATTCACCCATTGTGATATCTTCTTCTTTCTCTCCATGCCTTTGTGGATTGTTAACACCACCACCCTTTTCCTTTGTGGGGTTTGAGAGAGTAAGAGCAGTCCAAAGTGAAGGCGAAAGTCTCGGGTCGAGTCAAGGTAAATCGGTGTTCATTTGATTGTTTTCTGAGCCCAAAATCAAGATTTATCGAGGAATTTCCGCTGCATCTATCATTTTTAGATTAAACATTGGACAATAGTCATATATCATGCCTCCTAAATATTAGTCTAGAAAAAGATATTGACAATTACTTTGATAGCAACAATGCGAATGAATTGACTGAGAATGAAGAAGTGATTCAGACATTAGTAAATATGATTTATGTTCGGAATTATATGTCTTGAGGTGCTATATACCTAATGAAGCAATAAGAGCAATTGAAGTGCTAAATATTTGAAGACATTAAATGGTTTTTCCAAACTGTTTATATTTTCTACAAAATTTTCTAACCATACTGGTTACAACTGCATCTGCAGAAAGAAGCTTCTTCAAATTTAAGTTGACCAAGATTTATTTTCAATCAATTATGTCACAAAAAAGATTAAATGGATTAGCTATGTAATCAATTGAGAAAAAAATTGTTGAACAGCTAGATTATTCAAATTTGATTAAAGTTTTTGCATCTAAAATAGCAAGGCGAATAGTATTTAACTAATTATTTGAAACATTGTCGACTTTATTATTTAATTATCATATAAATATTCTGTATTATACATTTTACTTCTTACACTATTGTTAAGTTCTAAGTTAACAATTGGTTTCATAATACACTTATAGATTTTGCATGCATACTACAATTTTTGGAGGCTTAATTTATGAAGTTCGCCTTAGGCCCCAAAAATAACGACCGTCACTGCTGATACATGAGCAAAGATAGCGGCATAACAATGCAAGTTTACAACGACAGAAACAAGATCCTTTGTTGTGCTATCATCATGCAGTTATAGGTATATCATTTGCAATAACATATAGCATAATGTTCTTTGGAAATGAATTTAAGTTTCTTGTGAGGTTTTTTACTAATAATGAAGTATAAATGGTAATTACCAAAGCTGTGTTAAGTAATATACATCTTTATTATTCTTATCCGCCGTTTTTACCAATCACTATTATGCAAGCGGATCCCAACATAAACGAAGTGATTATGAGTATTACTTTGGTACCAGAGGTAAATGAAACTCATTAACGGATGCAATCCGTTCTGCCAATTTCCTACCTGGGGATCCATCTTAGAATGTTTATACGAGGAGTAGTCCAAACTTTTATATATTGATCTACAATTTTAGGGGCTGTCTTTGTTGCATATATAGTTACTTGAATAGGCAAAAAAAAGTTTAATTTCAAGTCCTTTATTTCTCATTCTAGCAATACTTGGATTCATGTATTCAGTTGAGGAAGAAGAAGTTTATAGGCAACTGTAGCTCGCCTGTGCCTATCCCATGGCTAATGCACCTCATGTTGGCAATAAGGTCTTCTGCTTTCCTCAGAGTCAAATTGAAGACGGGTTTTGATATGCTCTTCTCCACAATTTATCATTTCCTCAACGCAATTTTGCTCTTTTAGTTGTTGTTCAATAATCTTATCTCTGCTCTAAGAATTTGGTGGATGGGATTATAATAATTAGTCATGTTCGTTAAATGATAAGTAACAGATCAAAGTAAGTGAATCCTTTCAACCGGAGAGCTCTTTGCTTCGAGTTTGCTGATTGTTGTCTTTAATTGGCGTTGTAGGCGTGGTTTTGTTGAATGTTGTTACCCAATTTTGTCAGCTAACGCATATGTTTTTATTACAGAATATTAATGCTATTTGCCTAAAAATAAAGAAGCATATAATTGATTGATTGATGGTGTTTAAGATAAAAGTATAAATAATAAAAATAATTAACTTCTTTAATAGCTTAAGTGCCCGCACGTATTCTACACGTGTTCTAAGGTCAAATATGCCTTTAATCATTTATGAAAATGTCACCTGTAAGTGCTTCGTAGAAATATACATGAAGATGCAGAAGAGGAGGCGTAATGATGTTAAGAGTGCTGACGAAATTTAAGTAAAAAAGTGTATCTTGAACTTTTAGATGAGTTAATCTAGTAAGGTATTTTGCCTTGAAATAAAGTTTTACCATCGCCCATTTATGATAATTGTGTACGCTTTTGATGGAAAATGAATATGGTTTGCATGTGAGACGGTGTGTTAGTAAAAACTGTAAGCAATTAATATGTATCCGCTCAATGACAACTTAA